TGTAAGTCTATTTCTTTCACCAGATAGGGGAAGTTTTCTGTCATTATTTTTTTCAAATAGGTTTTCAATTCCTTGTTCCTCTCTTCTCCTTCTGGCACCTCCATGATGTGATTATTGGTACATTTGAAGTTGTCCCAGAACCTCCTTACACTTTCTTCATATTTTTGGGTTCTTTTTTATTTTTGCTGTTCTGATTGGGTGTTTTTTGCTTCCTCATATTCCAAATGCTGATTTGATTGTCAGCATCCTCTACTCTATTGTTGATTCCCTGAAAATTATTCTTCATTTAAGTTAGCATATGCTTCATTTCTGACTGGTCCTTTTTTATGTTGTTGAAGTTCTCACTAAGTTCCTTGAAGTTCTCATTAAGTTTCTTGAGCATCCTTATAACCATTGTTTTGAACTCTGTATCTGATAGTTTGCTTGCTTCCATTTCATTTAGTTCTTTTTCTGGAGATTTCTTCTCTTCTTTAATTTACAACATGAATCTTTGTCTCTGCATTTTGGCTGCTTTTCTGTGTTTGCTTCTATGTATTATGTATAGCTGCTATTTCTCCTGGAATTGGTAGAGTAGCCTTGTGTTGTAGGTGTCTTATAGAACCCAGTGGCTCAGCCTCCTGTCACCTGAGCTGGGCAGTCTAGGAGTACCCCTGTGTGGGCTGTGTGTACTGTTTTGTTGTAGTTGAGATCTTGATTGTTGTTGGCATCACTGGGAGGGGATTAATCCCCAAGCCAATCAGCTGTGTGGGCCAACTTAATTACATGGAAGAATTGCTGTGCAGGAGATGCTCCTATGGAGCAGGACTTGCTTCAATGGGCTGGGACCCATTGTTCCTTATGGGGGCGCCTCTGCAGCCAAGATATCCCCTCCCAATTAAAAAAATGCCACGTGTGGGTTTCAGAACAGCCTGTTCTGTGCCTCCATCCCTCTTATCAGTCTCAATGTGGCTTCATTAATTCTCTAGTTGTAGGGCTTCCATTCAACCAGATTTCAGGTGGTTCTGAAGGCTGGTTTTTCTGTGGTTTAGCTGAAATTTTGATGTGGTTGTGGGAGGTTGTGAGTACTGCATTTATCACCATCGTGACCCTCCCTCTATCAATGCATTTTTGAGCTTTAAAGAAGCAATTTTGGAAAACAAAGTTGATCAGCTTAATAATGCCATATAAAATAGCTAGTGGAAGTATCTACAATCTAGACTAGTGTGCTTTAGTATCGCACTTATTCTTAGTTTGCTCTTTGATTTTATTCCCCCTTTAAACCCTTCTTAGAGAACAAGCAAGAAACCAAAATGCAATGTATATGCGTCAACTCAGTGATCTGGAATCTACTGTTTCTCAGCTCCGTTCTGAATTAAGAGAAGCCAAAAGGACGTATGAAGACAAGGTGCGTTTAGATTTTGCTTCTCTGCTTCCAGGGGTTATTATACACAGAATCAATTATATAGTGCTTATAGTTTATTTTAAAATGAGAAAGCAAAGTAATCATTTCAAGTTAAAAACACTTTATAAGATGGATGCCAACTAAGTTTTATTTTAATTATTTGCTCACATTAATTCATTCTTAGAAAAATGTTTTTGCATACTCAGTTTTCTAAAGACTAAGGCCCTTTTATTTGCTTTTACAAGGCTTAGCTTTGGCATATGCTGGTTCAGTACCAGCTGCTCTCCTCCTACCACACGGTACTTTAGGGGCTACCTCCTCTCTTACTTTAACTCCTACTTATCACTCTGCAGTTAGAAAACTGAATTAACTTTAAGATTAGTCTAAATAAAAATAACTAGGAAGCCGAAACTGGTTTGGCTCAGTGGATAGAGCGTCAGCCTGCAGACTGAAGGGTCCCAGGTTCGATTCCGGTCAAGGGCATGTGCCTGGGTTGCGGGCACATCCCCAGTAGGTGATGTGTAGGAGGCAGCTGATCGATGTTTCTCTCTCATCGATGTTTCTAACTCTCTATCTCTCTCCCTTCCTCTCTGTAAAAAATCAATAAAATATATTAAAAAAAATAACTAGGAAGTTAATTCTTCATCTCTCTTTGTACAATTCCTCTTAAAATCAGATATTCATTAATGTTTTACTTATTTATTGATTTTTCTTCCTTTTTTTTTTTTCATTGATGTTTCATATTGTTGTTTTCTCTCACATTTCATAGCTAAAGAGAAGTGTTCATTATCATTATCAACCATTTTCTAGATCTTAGGTTTTTATTAGTTTCAAGCCTTTATAACACAGGAGAGACTCTACAAAACAGTCAAAGAGCTGCCATTCAGAGAAGCACGTGTTCTTTTTTCCTGTGAGAAGGGTGACCAAGTACATGCCCGTTTGCCTGGGACAGTCCCAATTTACACCTGCTATCCCAGTGTCCTGGGTTGTGCATTCCACCTTTGTCTCCAAAGTGTCCCAGCTTGGAAGATACATTCCATATGTAGTCATCCTACCTATAAGAGAACCTATAGAGTTATAACCATCACTGTTAGCAATTTCTCACACCCTAGTTTATTGGGAAAATATACAGTAGAAAGAAAATGCCAGATTTCCTTTATAAAATTATCCGATTCTACAGCATAACAGTTCAAGAAAAAAATCTTCTTATGGGAAGAGGCAATTTAGTATTGTAGCACTGCTTATTCCACCATTTGCCTTCTTTTGAACACCCCCTCTTTTAATTACCACTGTCACCCCTGTGCTGGCCACAGGAGGGGGCTGTTTCTCTGTGGACCGGCTCCCGGCATTTCTCCTAGTTTCTCTGATTCAAGCATGTAATATAAGATCTTGACCTTCATTTCCAGTGGCACCGCTAAAATAAGAATGGAAAATTTAGACATGACTTTATTAAAGTCTACACAATAAAGAGCAATATGAAACTCTATAATGTCAGTTATGAGATTTGGATCCTCTACAGCAGTGCTTTGAAACATTGTGATCACTATTCACAGTAAGAAACATAGTTGACTTTCTGATCCAGTACATTCAACTGAAGCAAATTTCACAAAACAGTATTTACCCTGTTACATATGCTGCTGGCTCTTTTCTGTTCTCTTCAGATGCTGTCTGATGCTCCTACATTGATTTCCTAATTCACTGGTGGTTCCAGTGTGACTAACACTGCACTGCAAATCTCTTGGCTTCACTCTTAGCCTAAATCCCATGCCAAGGTCATTTACACCCTGACACCTAGGAGCAGCCTTAAGGGACCTGAGACTGCTTATGTGTCAAACCCAAGAAACAAAAGCCCAGGGAGAAGCATTTGTTTTTTCCTGCCCCTCTCAGACCTGCTTGTGTTCTAGTCTCTTTTCTCAGGCTGAGCTTCCCCCTGAAGATTGATAGTGGGAATGTCCACCCCTTTCTGGGCAGGCCAAGCCTACACAAAAGGTCTTGATCTCACCCTGCAGGTTCCTGATTTCAGGACAGCATGGGGTGGAGGGTGCTTTACTACTCAGATCTGGAGGAGGACGGCACATTGGCAGAACTGAGCGCTGACAATGTGACAGCTAGGGAGGAAATAGGATCCTTGTTGTGTTATAGTCCAGTACAATAGCTGTTATTGATCACTACTCAACTCATTTTGAAAAGATTAAATATTCATTGTTTATTGACAAATGAAACCCTTTGAAAAGTCCTGAAGTATTGAATAAAACTCATTTTTTCTCTTGTATGATTTGAAATTGCTGTAGCTTTCCATTGTAATGTCTCTTGGAGAAATTATCCCTTCATAAGCTAATATGCATACAGACTGATATATAACATCATGCTGCTCAATTCCAAAGTGGGCATGGTGGAAAATTTTAGCAAATACTAAATATACATCTAAATAATGCAAAAATGGTTTCTGAGTTTTTATAAACATCTCTTTGGCATTGTAAAAGCAAGCATAAACATCCAGATAAATGACGGCATGAACTTTTTGTATGAATGTTTTGAGGTCATATAGACACAAATATGATATTAGAAGTATTGTCTTATTTTGTTCTAATGTAAACAGGAATTTTGACAATCTTAAACAGTCAACGTTAATAGAAATAAGGGGGCATATCTGATTAATTAATTTAACCCAGACGACTGAGATTTATCATGTAGCATTTTGAATCTAATTTAGTTGGCACCTAATTGATGGGTAACTAGAGTTTCTTAATAGTAACTCCCTTTAGACAGGGAGCACAGAGAGATGGTTATCCTGTCATGTTCATAGAGATTGGAACATATTCCGGCCTGACAGGCTTTAGTGCATGGTATAGCTGAGCTAAGAAGATCAAACAACTTAACAATAGGATTGCATATTGGGGTCATGAAAAATGTTGTTATAAACTGTTTTTGTTATAATGAATTGAATATAGAATCTAAAAAACACAGATTCTTCTGTTTATTTTCATGTACCTTGACTTTATATACTAAAGCCTGTTAAAACTTTAAAATCTATTTTATTTTTCACTGCTTTAGTGTACATTTTAGTATATACTGTCCAAATAACAATAAAAAAGCATCAAAGAAAATAATACATAAAAGTTGTGATTAAAAGTGAGACTTGTTGAAAAAGAAATTTATACATGTGTGTAGATATTATATATCAAGATATTTTATGAGAAGCAGTATTAGCATTTTTTCCTGAGGCCATATTCCTTCAGATAAAAAATATTTATCATTTTAAAAAATTGATGACATGACAGGTCTGAACAAAACTTTTCCAACTAGAATGCATAAATTATGAGAAAATTTGTTTAGGAGGACCTTGTTTCTCTTCAGATTAACAAAAGTATTTTCATATTGATAAAAATAGAAATTGTGTTTTGAAGAAAATTTTAGACATAGCTTTTGTAGCTTACAAAAGTGTTTTACTGTAATGCTTTTTTCTATTCTTCTCTTTCCATTTTAGGAGAGCCTCCAGAATTCCCCTTTACGAATTTGGACCAGTAGAAGCTGTCACTATTGGCTCTGTAGATTTGGCTTTACTCTTAACTTTCGCTTTTTTACAACAAAAATATCTCATAATCTTGATTATAAGCTGATTTTTCCTACTTTGGAAGCATTTTGGGCTGAATTTCATACTCAAAAAGCGAAGATTTAGTAGCACTGGCTGGAGCTGTATGCTGTGCAGGAAGATTCTGTGCAATCCCCTTTGCACAGTTCTGCCAATGCACCTCGTGCTGACCCGCAGCTCCCCTCATTACCCCGCGTCTGTGTTTTGAGCACAGAAAACAAAAAGATCCAATTCGACATGATTGGTAATATCTCTAAAATCACTGAATGATTAGAATGAGATCCCAATACTTATTTGGCCAGTGATCAAAAACTAAGAGATTAATAGATGGTGAAAGGGAAAACCAGTGCTGCTATTTAAAAAGAAAAGAAGAAGAAAAAAAAACCTTTAATACATCTCAGATGTCAGTATTTATTATGGACATTTTAAAAGGCTTTCTTTATAGTGTTGTTGTTTTTTTTTACAGCTGTTTGTATCAGCTCAGCTGCTACATCAATGGTTTTCCCTTTCACTCTCCATTCATCTTTTTGATTGATTAATATAAATATTTTTATTCTAAAAAGTGAAAGGTAAAAGCAGAGCTATAGCAGCTGAGTCAGTACTGACAACTACCAAACAAATGTTCCTGCAGGGGTCTGGAGGAACTTCCGATACTTAACCTTAGACGGAAAGATAAGACTTGGCTCTTTTAGTTTTGGTCTCATACATTGTATCGTCAAGTTTGATGTTATCAGATGGTCATCCAAATATTTTTTTAAAAATGAAAACAGACATAAAATAACAAGTTTTAATTTAAGCTTTTAAAGCACATATACAAATACTGTGCTCAATGATAGGAAGAGTTTTGTGCCAGGCTAGCTATGAGTGGAAAATGTTTTAGTCATATGAGTAAGTTTTCGAGTCAAAAGTGTACTTATTAAATTTATAGCTCAAAATATGGTTTTTTTGATTTTATTTTGGTCCCAAAGATAGATGGGAAATACAGAATTTTAGCTTTATCAATACTGTTCTTCTCATGTGAAAAAGTATTTAGAAGCAGAATTGAAAAGAATTTGAAAGATCATCAAGAATATCTTTTCAAATTATAGATGAAAAATATTGAGACTCAAAGAGGTTATGTGACAGAACCTGGATCAGAACTTAAGATGTTTGACTCTTAGCCGATCACATTGACTCTCTGATCACATCTGTTGACCCAAAGTAAAAGTTGGTGTTTTTCCCTAAGTATTCCTAGTATCTTTAGTAACTGTGTGCTAACTTAGTCTTTCCTACTAATAATAGAATGGAGGAGATTATATAAACTGGTATTATTCATTCATTTTCCTTAGGAGGCTATTTGTGCTACAGAGGTTGAGTTGTGGGGCTTTTTTCTATATATGCCCCCTAGGAGCACAAGGGTGAAAGTACTTTATAGGATTATTAGACTCTATGAACACGTTTCTATCCATAGCCTAATATTTTACATATACCTAATTCTTATGAAATACTTTTTATATATAACATACAACCAAAGTTAAAACAAAATTTTAAAATATATCCAATGTAAATATTAACATTTACATTCCAATTCCTGTAGGCTGTGATACTCTGTAGGTAAATGTGAAACTGTTTGATAATTCTATATTAGTACTTTCTTAAGTCATATATATATATGTATGTGTGTGTGTAGATAAAGATATATAACTTCTATGTATGCATACTCATTTATCAATGACATAGTTACATTATGTGCGTATAATATGATTAATAAATATGTGTAGAATTAATAAATGAAGATCTTAAATGAACCTAGTCTAGGCAAAAATAGTCATCAAGAAAAAGTTAGTCTTGCTCATATGTTCTCTAAGAAGGTTTAGTCACAGTGCACCATCCAAACACATCAACAAGTTTTATTCTTGACATAGAAGTTTAGGAAGCCTGTTGAATAGAGGCCTTAGAAGTAAGAAGAAATATATAGTATTAGTGCAGACATGAAAGATGTCTTATCGCTGGAAAGTAGATGATGAAATAGTATTGTAGTATCACATTAAAGATCAGCTAACATTACATAACACTAAGTAGCATCATGTTCTTATCAGTTTAATATCTCAGTATCTAAATTATGAATTTCTGTGGCTCAACTAAAATCTAAGCTGAGTCTCCATCCTCTGAGATCTTAACCTCTTAGCCTACAGGCTGTTAACAGTGATGGGCCTTCCAGCAGGTCATAGAAATGCATGGTCCACAGATCAAAAAGCTGCCCTATCTGTGTGGAAAAAATATACCTATAAAAACCCTTTCAAATTGGTGTTTATCTCATTTTATAAAGAAAATTAGGATGGGAATATATAATACGTATACAAATATATTAATATATTTATGTAATATATAAAGTCACCCTTTCATAATAGAGTGACTATATAATAATGACAGTAACTAAAAACTTGTTGCCATTCATTATTTTACATTCAAAGCCTTTTATTACTGACACGCTGATATTCTGCAACAAAATAGTTCTTCTAAATATAATACATTTCATTTATGTGGGCTTGACGTATTTATGGCACATCAAGCTTCCTTAAATAGCAGATGATAGAACACCTAGTCACAGAAGCTAAATTTTGAATGTTTCATTTGGCTAATTTTATTTGGCCAAATTCTACATAGATCTTAAGTTTAGAAAACTTTGCAAACCATATCACAATGAAGTTTTATTTTTGCCCCCTAAATAATACTCGCTTTCCAAAGGCTTTGTTTGTTTCATGTTGCCCACTGCCATCCTCGGAGTGCTTGATTTGTGCTTCCCTCTCAGATAGAAGAGCTGGAGAAGCAGCTGGTCCTGGCCAACTCGGAGCTAACTGAAGCGCGGACGGAGCGTGACCAGTTCAGTCAGGAATCGGGGAATTTGGACGATCAACTTCAAAAGCTGTTGGTGAGATTATGCTCTAAAATATGACCGACATTAATTCTGGGAAGTTTTTCACCAAAATAGTTCACAAAACTAGTTTCATTTATAAAATTACAATTTTCACAAAATATTTGTGCATACATATAAAGTTACTCAAGTTTTGCATATAAAATATAATATTCGATATTTTACCTTTTTCTTCTTTTCTTAAGTAGAACTGCCATGGCTTAAATGTTAAGTGAAGCTGATCTTCAAAGAACCATAGTTTTCAACTAGATACTACATTCTGCTAAATTGAAGTAGTGTTAAGTATTCATTTCAAAGCAAAATAACATTTAAAACACAAATTATGTATGTAGAAAATTTGAATGGAAATTTGGGTTAAATATTTTTTAAAGAACGAAAAGGGAATTCTGATCATTGTAAACCAGCCTCTGTTAGAGGTTCTTAGGCTGAGAAATTTGGAGAAGGAAATGTTTGGTAACCCTTTGTGTGATCCACGGGACAGTGGAATACGTTTCTCTCTTACTCGCTAACCCCATTCTAGGGAACAGTGCTCTGCGCGGGTAGCACCATTCTTCTTAGGCTGACACCGACTTGAGTATCGCCAAAGGCAGAGCTGGCAACTGTGTGCGCAAAGCTCCAGACTGGGGGATAATCTTTCTCTTCTTTCCCTCCTATTGCCTGTTCCCAATCCTTTCTCTATATACACCCAGTGCTCCAAGCACATGCCCCTTTCCGGTCCCTTCTTCCTAATCTCTGCATCTCCAAACTGTCCCCAAGGTCCAACTCACATGCCTTCTCGAAGCATTTTGATCTCCTTAGTGATTTCTCTCTGCTAGTCCTTAGCTCTGTCTCTAATAAAAAACAACTTCCAGTTATTTGTGTCTCTAATTTTTCTCTTTGGGTGATAAGTCTTTTAAGTCTCCTACTCTGTTGAGTTTTTGCTAACAGTAGATACTCTCTATAGAATGTATTTTTTTCGTAACTGAGGAGGGAGGTAATTCTATTCACAGCCCAATTGCTATTCCAATCCTAGTATGGGACACTAGTCTGCATTGCTGAATCAGTAACCCCAATTACTATTGCTATTCCCTCAACCTTTTGAGCATTTCTTTATTACAGGAACACACTTGATATGAAACATAATAACTTTGTTAGAAAATTAAAAACAGATAACTTTAAAAATCTACTGTATTTTCCTTTTTATTACGTATTATTTGGGGTCCATTGAGATTTACTTTTAATGCTAAAATTACAAGTAAGCAAAATGTCAACTTATTTTTCTAAGAAATGTTCATAATTGAGCTATTAAAAAGGAATCTAATTCCAAAATCAAAGTATTCTCGAATCACATAGAAACTCCAAAGATGACGTATAGAACATAGCGTTTTATTTTTATTATTTGCTGCTAAGGGGGAAACACACCTCACTTCTTGTAGGCCGACCTCCATAAGCGAGAGAAGGAGCTGAGTCTGGAGAAGGAGCAGAACAAGCGTCTGTGGGACCGGGACACCGGCAACAGCATCACCATTGACCACCTGCGGCGGGAGCTGGACGACAGGAACATGGAGGTGCAGCGCCTGGAAGCCCTCCTCAAGGCCATGAAGAGCGAGTGTCAGGGCCAGATGGAACGGCAGGTCAGCAGGACGCGGGACAGCTTCTCCAAATGGTCGCTTGGGGGTGAGGGGATGATGTATTTTATGTCTCATTGGTAAAGCTTTAACAAAAACACACATGTATGGGCCTAAAATAGTTCTAAAGTAGAGGTGGCTTCTATGAACAAGCTTTAAACACCTGTGATTTCAATATTTTTGACCATTTATTAAATTTAAAATGTTAAGCTTTTTCTCACTTGTGTCCATTGTTGAGTAATGAAATTCCCGCCCAGTTGCCTTTTTCACCTAGAATTTGGTACCCTAATATTGCTTATTTCAGAGAAGCATCAAACCATAGGGAGATCTTAGGAACAGCCGAGTGGAAGGTTTCTAGGGGAAACCTTTGGTTTTGTTTTTACTTTTCTCCAAGTGGATTGAGTGCACAGGATGGTGCACTCCAGGTCAGTGCACCGGTAGGGAGATATGGTGCACTCGTTAAGAGTGTGGCCCCTCAGCACTGGAAGGACATGGTTCCATTGCCACTTACTGTCACAGAGACATAAAAAGCACCCCCCCACCCCCCACACACACACACACAGCATCCCACAGAAGAGTAACCTTCCCAAATGTGAAAGCAAACCACAGGGACCAGCCTTGGCTTAGACCAGTGGTTCTCAACCTTCTGGCCCTTTAAATACAGTTCCTCATGTTGTGACCCAACCATAAAATTATTTTCATTGCTGCTTCATAACTGTAATGTTGCTACTGTTATGAATCGTAATGTAAATATCTGGTATGCAGGATGGTCTTAGGTGACCCCTGTGAAAAGGTCGTTCGACCGCCAAAGGGGTCACGACCCACAGGTTGAGAACCGCTGGCTTAAACCCAGGCAAAGCCACTTTCCTATTGTCTGGCCCAATCTGGGAAAGAAGAAAGATGAAAGAAGCGATTAGAATTTAGAATCTTACTCTTTTCCTAACAGGGGCCAGAGGATGTGAATGTATGTTGGATAAAAGCTATTACTCACTTTCTCCTAAGGGGTAGGATTAAAGAGCAGACTGATGGGAAATAGAAAAGGCAGTTATCTACAACCCTACCACACTTCCCCCTGTTGCCAGTGTTATCTTAATTTAAATTGGTACGGAAAACATCCTCAGAGGGATCTTCCTAAGATCCCCACACTAGAAAACCCTTTTGGAGGAACATTAATATTTAATTAAGGCCCCTCCACCTTGGTCTAATTAATACATGTTGGCCTATGATCTATAGGAGTTCTGAGAGCAAAATGATTTGAGTTGGTCTAAGTAATTATTAGCCGATGAATGATTGCATGTGTTTAAGCTAACTTGTTATATCTGTTGAGGTTCCCGCTACCTATCTGCCCAAATCCATGAAATTCTTTTTTCTTTAACGATCAGATGGCAGCAATTCAAGGAAAGAATGAAAGCCTAGAAAAAGTGTCCTCCTTGACCGCTCAGCTTGAATCCACCAAAGAGATGCTCCGCAAAGTCGTAGAAGAGTTGACAGCCAAGAAAATGACCCTGGAGAGCTCCGAGAGGACCGTGTCGGACTTGACCGCTTCCCTCCAGGAAAAAGAGAGAGCCATTGAGGCCACCAATGCGGAGATCACCAAGCTGCGCTCCCGGGTCGACCTGAAGCTGCAAGAGCTGCAGCACCTGAAGAATGAAGGGGATCACCTCAGAAACGTGCAGGCGGAGTGCGACGCCCTCAAGCTCCAGATGGCCGAAAAGGACAAGGTCATCGAGATTCTGCGACAGCAGATCGAAAACATGACGCAGCTGGTGGGCCAGCATGGACGAACTGCCGGTGCCATGCAAGTAGAGAAAGCTCAGCTCGAGAAGGAGATTAATGACAGGAGGCTGGAACTACAGGAATTCAAGGTCTGTAGTTTTTTTGTGGTGTAGCTTCTGAAATATCTCTTCCCCATGAATAAGTCTGACCTAATTTACTGAAAAGGGGTTTTGTAAAGACAATGTGTAGACACTAAACTTGTTTGAAAGTATTTGTGTCTATGTGCATCTGTGTGTTTTTTGTGAGAAAGGACCCATACTTTCATTAGAGTCCAAATGGAGTGGACCAACAATGGTTCAGATCTACCCATAAAGATAAAAAATCCAAAAATGCACAACTTCTTCAGGAAGCTTTTTCTGATCCCACAATTTAACGATTTTTTCTCCCTCTTCAGGCAGACCTAAAGGTGAACCACATCTCCCACCACTCAGTAACCAGAAGACACTGTACTGTTTACTGAATCTGTAAAACAAAACAAAAACAAAACAACAAAAACCCAATAACCTTACTGGGTTACTTGCGGCTTAAATGAGAAATTTTATATCAAACACTTAGCTTAGTTCCTGACCTGTAGAAGATGTTTAGGAAATAATAGTTCCCTTCACCTATTCCATTCTCTGTCTAAAACATCCATCACTTTACTTGTACCCATTATAACCTGGGTCACATTCTATACTGCACTGTGTGTGTGCTTAAACAGTAGTGTCTCCTCTTGCCTATAAGACTCAGACTTCTTCAAGCAGGTACACATCTTATTCATCTTTATACACCTGCCCCATGTCTTTGTGCCTTTCACCCAGGAGATACTCAGTAAATAGTTATCAAAATTTTAAATTATTGAGTGACTTTTTAAAAAATTTGATTTTCTAAGTTTTGTGTCACCTGTATCTCTGCCTTGGTAACTAATAGGAGACAAATCACATACAATTAGTGCTTTTTCCTTTTAGCATTATTGAGATGTAATTGACCTGCAGCACTGTGTAAGTTTAAGGGGTACAGCATATTGACTTGACTTACATTTATTGTGCAGTGATTGCAACAGTGAATTTAATTAACATTTATCATCTCATAGATACCAAAAAGGAAAGAAAACAATGTTTTCCTCCTTGTGCTGAGACTTTTAGGATCCACCATCTTAGCAATTTTCAAATACACCACTCAGCAGTGCTAACTATGGTCACCATGCTATACATTACAGCCCCAGGACTTACTCATCCTGTAACTGGAAGTTTGTACCGTTGGACCTCACCTTTGCCAGTCCCCCCAGTCACAAATCTCACATAAACTTTAGATGCCAGAGTTTCCTCAATCTAAAAATAAGGCCAACTATAGATTATTATCTATCTTATGGAGATATACAAGTTTATTGCATTAAAAAATTAGAATTTTATAGTGTTAAGCTTTTACTTAATTATATCATAAGAACTTTTTTAAAAGGCCAGAATCACCATGAAAGAGACTTTTAAAGGCATCTTAATGGCTAACCCTTACGATGAAAACTTTAGAATAGGTTTACAGAACATATTAGAGAAAAAAAGATTATTATTCCACCTTCTTATTAAAGAAAAGAAATTAATTTCTAGCATTGTTAATAGTACAAACAAATGAAAGCATCCTATTGAGTCTTACACTTTAAAAAATAAATCAATTTAATCTTTACAAAAACCTTATGAGGCAGGCACATTATTGTCCAATTTTACAGATGAGGAAACTAAGACAGGGAGACATTAAGTAACTTGCCTGTGAGCAGCACTGCCTTGGGATTTGGTCCTGTGCAGCATAAGAGTGAATATTACAGGTGTCCCTCAGGACAGTATGGGTTTGGTTTCAGACTACCACAGTGAAGTATCTCAATGAAGCAGGTTGTAATCTTATTGCTGGTGTAATCTTGTCTTCAATTTGTAAAAAACACAAAATCTATGAAGCACAATAAAGTAAAGTGCAATAAAATGAGGAATGCCTGATTATATTTAAGGCCAATAGGCCTTAATTTGAAGGGACAATCTGATGACCAAAAGAGTAAGTTTAAAAAAAATTAAGTATAATCACAGAAAAAAATATACCCACACTTTCATATCTATACCTATATTGATACAGTGGAGCCTTGACTTACGAGTTTAATTCGTTCCGTGACGGAGCTCGTAACTCAAATTACTCGTATGTCAAATCAAAAAATGAACGAGTGAGACACGTGATGCTGGGCTGATGTTGTGGCGTTCACTGTGACGTTCGCTGCGCCAACTAGCAGTGGGGTATCTGAAGCTGGCTCGTAACACGAATTTTAGCTCGCAACTCAAAGCAAAAAATCGGCCGAGAGACGGCTCGTATCTCGAAAAACTCGTTAGTCGGGACACTGGTAAGTCAAGGCCCCACTGTATTTGGAGAAATATACACAAACAGTAGAAATTCTTTTGACAAAAATAATTTTATTTTAAAATGGCATTTGTTTAGAAGCATCTAGGCTGCCTCTGTGATGAGAACTTGAAATGTAATCTGAACCACATACATGATTTTAAAGTTTCTAGTAGACATGCAAAAAGAAACAGGTGAAATTAATAACATATTTTACTTAATATATCCACAATATGGTGATATTTTTATATTGCAATCAATATAACAAATTAAAATATTTTACATTTTTTTAAATGTAAAGCCTTTGAAATCTGGAATATTTTATACTTACAACACATCTCTAGTTAGATTAGGTACATTTCAAGTACACAGTAGTCACATGTGGCTAGTGGAACAACTATATGCGGAATTGACATCTAAAGTTAATAGAAAGGTAAAATATTGCTTTTTTCCCCCACTTACTCTATTGATACTTTATAATAAAACACAAATTTAATAGCCTGGGAAATAGTGAAAAGCCATTTATATAGATATGGTATTAAGACATGTTATAACTATATATGCACATAATTTTAATTTCTTACTCTACCCATTGTATTTATCACTATATTTAGATTTTAAAAGATAAAAAAGATTCAAAGATACGAGAGCTGGAGGCCAGAGTGAGTGACCTGGAGCTGGAAAAGGTGAAGCTTGTGAATGCAGGCTCTGAGCGGCTCCGTGCAGTGAAGGACATCAAACAGGAGAGAGATCAGTTATTAAACGAGGTGAAGACTTGTAGGAATGACTTGAACAGCCTTACAGGTATGTCACTTCAAATTCTGCTAAAAAAAAAAAAAAATAGCTCTATTGGTGAAGTCCAATGTAGACACTAGGACTATTGCAAAAGAATAGTTCCTCATGCACATGACAAATGTGGGTTAATTATGGGGCCCCAGTAGAGGTATTTCATTGCCTGAAATCTGATACTTCTCCTTGAAGAGCTTTCATATCTTGCACTTATTAACTGTTTTTAGTCAGCCCTCAGAGTTCATGAAATTCTTTGCTGAGTTTCCATGAGAAGGGTGAAGGAAACGGAAACCTTGAGTTCTTTGAGTCAAATACCTTGATTAGAGGTTTAATGATGAAGCAATATGCAAATTATGCACATTTTATGAAAGGAAAAATCCAAGGCTTTAAATTTAAAAATGAAGCGCTCCTTGTTCACAATTAGTATGGTAGAGACATCAATTGCTTCACACACACACCCCACACAAACACATCACAGACACACCACACATACACACACAGAGTCAATGGTTCCTGAGCATTTACTAAGCCAGATACTGAGAGAGGCCCTATACACACAACAGTGAGGCTCCCAGATAGTTGGTAGCCAGACTATATGGAACGGGTTTCAGTACAGTGGCTGGGGCACAGTGGGTGTGTGCTGAGTGCAGATGCAGCAGAGGGCAGAAAATCAGCCTCCTTCAGGAGGTGTCATCTGTGTAGGTTTGAAGGGGGAGAAGGAAATTGGCAGGTGAAAAAGAGGTGGACAGGCAATCCAGGCAGAGAGAACATTATGAGGAGAGCCATGAAGGCATGAAATAACAGAATGTGACCTCAGAAGTATTTGTTGGAGTAAAAGCCTGAAGGAATGAGGACTAAGAAATGAGGCAGAATAGATAGGCAGAGGCAGACAGTGTGGAGCCAGCAAAGGGTACTAGGCAAGAGATTGTTGTCATCACAGTTACATTTTAGAAGAAGAGTGTCAGCAGTATGTACAGAAAGGCAAGACGAAAGGGACAGGGGCCAGCCAGTAAAGAGGATTTTTCGAGTTCCCAGAGTTCCTGGGAAAATATGGTGAGAACTTGACCTAAGGCAATGGTAGTAAGAATGAGAGGAGAAGGAGGAATTCAGTATATTTTGGAAGATTGAAATCAACAGTAATTAGTGATTGGAGGGGTTGTGTATGGGTTTCAGGTTTTAAGTTTGAATTATTGGGGAAACAATGATACCAACAACTGAGAGAGGGAAACAGGAAGGAGGGGCAAGTTTGAGGGCAGGAGGGTGAGATGCAGTCAGTAGGAGACAAGTTCCAGGGCATCCACATGGAAATGTCTGGTAGACAGAGATCTCACCAAAGAGGTCTTGGCTCTGTCTGTTTCCTATATATGTAAATCTATTGATCATATATAAATATCCTATATAATAAAAGGCTAATATGCAAATAGACCAAACAGTGGAATGACCAGTTGCTCTGACATGCACTGACCACCAGGGGGCAGACGTTCAACGCAGGAGCTACCCCCTGGTGATCAGTGCACTCCCACAGGGGGAGCGCTGCTCAGCCAGAAGCCAGGCTCATGGCTGGCCAGTGCAGCAGCGGTGGCAGGAGCCTCTCCTGCCTCCACGGCAGCGCTAAGGATGTCCGACTGACAGCTTAGGCCCGCTCCCCATGGGGAATGGGCCTAAGCTGTCAGTTGGACATCCTCTGAGGCCTCCCAGACTGCGAGAGGGTGCAGGCCGGGCTGGGGGGACACCTCGCCCCCCCCACCACCCCAAGTGCAAGATTTTTGTGCACTGGGCCTCTAGTATATATAATTGTATAAATATAAATAGGTAGTTGAGTGTGTGTATATTCTTGTATTTGAATGATGAATGCATGCCAGGTATTTTGATAGTTACTGGAGATAAAAAATCAGAAAGACACATGATAATTTCAGGTTACTTATTGTGTCATGGAGATCTATCTACCTATAGATGATGGTTAAATCTATTGTAGTGAGTATGATAACCCCCCCAAAAAGGTATAAGGTGAAACAGATGTGAGTCAATTACACAGGTGGGAGATAAGCAGTGAATAATAAGTGGGTAGAGGAGGAGGATCCACCAAAGCAGATTTTAAAAAGAGTCAGATACCTGGAAGTGTGTGTACATACATCTAATGTCTGTAACAAATCACAACATAACTTAATGAAGTCTCCTTACAGCTCTAAAATTATGTAATCATTACTTACAAATAAAATATGCTTCATAACAATGGGATAGAAAAAAAGTAACTATTATTGACTATCATGTTCTACAGAGGACTACGAAGTCTTAAAAAGGAATTTTCGAAACAAAAGTGAAGAAATGGAAACTACTACAAATAAGCTGAAAATGCAATTAAAATCTGCACAGTCTGAACTAGAACAAACAAGAAATACATTGAAATCAATGGAAGGATCTGATGGTCATGGTATGCTTTATTAGATTTTTTTCGTTTTTCACTGATCTAGATTTATTAAAAACACAAACCTGGATACATTGCCTGCCATCTCTTCACGTGCCATGTGATGTGAGAGAGATAGCAACAGGTATCACTAATGGGTGCTATAGAGCAGTAGTTTTACTTGTTTTTTGTTTGTTTGTTCGTTTGTTTGTTTGTTTGTTTTTTGGGGGGAAGAGGGCAATTTCCATGTGCTTATGTATTTGAATCTTTCCCTGTAGTTACTTCAATAATTTCTAACAGACTTCCATGCTTATAAATGCCAGTTAATTATTTTTAAGACTGTGTTGATATGAATACAAGTTACTGATCATTTTCATTCAACCCCTTATTTTTCATGTGTTCATTATCTATAAACTATATATCTGTGGCTAATTGTCAATTCCTGGGAAGGAGCCCTGGAACTGAACTGCTAGGATGGGGGGTCCCTTCTCACCACTTCGACCTGTTCCCTTTTTACCTTGCTGCCCATATTAATTTGAGAGAGAAGTTGACTGTTTCATATTATTCATATTTTTGGTATGGCTGTATTAGCTGACTGTAAAATAAATATTTATCTAAGTAAAGTCTACATTCTTCCATTTCTCAGTATTTTTTAATGGCAGAAGATTTATATTTGTGCTTGCTTCAGCAGCACATACTGGAACGACGCAGAGAAGATTAACATGGTGCCTGCACAAGGACGGCACGCACATTTTTTAATTGTTCCATACTTAGTGGTTCTCAGAGGCTCAGCTCTTGCTTTGCTGGTTCACATCAAGAAAATGGTGGGGTTTGGAGAGGTCACTCAGGAGGCCCGTTGGGGTCTGTCCCTCCCCCAAGATAGAGCCCTGCCTCGGGGCCCTCAGGCATCTCCACAAGTTTTTAAAAAAATATATTTTATTGATTTTTTACAGAGAGGAAGGGAGAGGGATAGAGAGTTAGAAACATCGATGAGAGAGGAACATTGATCAGCTGCCTCCTGCACACTCCCCACTGGGGATGTGCCCGCAACCCAGGTACATGCCCTTGACCGGAATTGAACCTGGGACCCTTGAGTCCGCAGGCTGACGCTCTATCCGCTGAGCCAAACCGGTCAGGGCATCTCCACAAGTTTTGATAGGAACTATATTCGTTAGCATGCTTATTTTTAATGAATGATACTTTTTCCTTTTTCTTTTTAACCTCTAAGCTATAACTGGACCTGACTCAAAGCAGTGGCATTTTCAAACCTCTTTCCTCAGTTGACTATAGGGAGCCTATGTTTGAATTTCTAAGCAAGGAGGAGCTTTATATAAATTTTCAGTGGCCTGGCATATTCTAAGTATTCAGTGCCTATTACCTGTACAAAACATTCTCATTCTGTCACCAGGCTACTAAATTATCACATATATGCTTATGCTGCCAATTTAACTATTGAAATAATAATGAATTCCAAGCACATAACAATAACCATGGGAATAAAAATGAATGGTTTGTGATAGAACTGGAATCTTTTAAAAGATCACTAACAATAGATGTCTTATGTGGTATTTGAAATATGAGTTTCTAGAAAAATTATTTTAGTAAAAACATTATATATATTATTTATTATATAACTATATATTTTATGTATATATTTCCTATATGTGTAAGTGTGAATTTGGTCAGTATTATTTACCACCATTGGAGATATGGCAAATTATAATGGTCAATGAAATTAATACCAGTAACAAGGAAATCACAAAATATTATATATTATATAATCCTATCTAATAAAAGGGTAATATGCAAATTAACCATCACTACATCACAAAATGGCAGTGCCCAGTCCTCTCAGCCCTGCCGGAGTCCCCCAGTCCTGAGGGGGTGGCTGCTGAGAGCAGGCAGCGTGAGCGTTCTGGCAGAATGCTTGCTTTGTCACCGTGGCGATGAGGCAAGCATTCCATCCCAGTCGTGGAGGGCCTCTGGGCAGTGGGCACGGAGTGGCCGGGGTTGGGGGGAACGTTTGCATCATCACCCCGGCGACGAGGCAAGCATTTCACGCCTGGCCGTGGATGGGCCTCTGGGCCTCAGAGAGCCTCTGGGAAGCGGGCGTGGAGTGGCCAGACCCCGCAGAGAGCTACTGGTGCACAGATTCGTGCGCAGGGCTACTAGTATATATATATAAATATATATATATATGGGTTTAAAACCTTCAAGTAATTGCTGAAATTGTTATATCTCAATGTTGTGAAACTGTCCAGGTGCCTTTGCGAATCTTTCTTGTCACCTTCCCATAATGCTTAACCTTCTCATTATAGTAGCCTCTCAAAATTTAGAAACTTAAAACTAAGACAGTTTTCTTTCTTTTTTCCCAGCTATGAAAGTGGCAATGGGGATGCAAAAGCAAATCACAGCTAAAAGAGGTCAGATAGATGCCCTTCAGAGCAAGATACAATTTTTGGAAGAGGCAATGACAAATGCAAATAAGGTAAGTCCCTGCCTGGGAGTGGGGGAAGCCAACATGTCCTCTCATTCATATACTAGAAAACAGAGTAAGACAGAGCAGAGACTAAAAAGTACAGTGGAGAAGAGAAGAGAGGTTACTTCTGACTGAGAAAATGAGGGAAAGGTTCCTGAAGGAACATTTGAGCCAGATCTCAAAGGAGATACTTAAGTACAGGAAATGGGCAAAGGACATTCCTGGTAGAGACAGGAATGATTATAAACAAAGCACATTGTTGTAATGCGGCGTGTGTTCCTAAAATTACTGTGCTATACAAACGGTGCGATAAAAACCACAGGGCTTATGGAAACCATGGGGTGAGAAGCACCACACTGACAAATTTAATCAGTGACACAAAAAAACAGGAACCTAATGAGAACAGTAGCACAGTATTACACATATTCAATAGTAATACATAAATACTACAGCAGCCATGGCCCCTTTCCTTAAAAAATACCAGAAGTTTCCTTGTGGAAGTGTGCATCAGAGGGTAGCAGCTTGTGAGTTACTATGAAGGGGTAGAAGGTAGCTTTTCTGTAATACCAGATGTGCTTGGATGTGGCTCAAAACACAAGGTAAACTGAGGTAGCTAATAGATAGTTGTTTGAACAGTGCATGTATGCTTTTTGTATATCCCTATGCAGATTTGTTTAGCTGGGTGCAGTTTTCTGCATTGATCTAATATTTCTCATAAATGAAACTTCACATAAGTAAATGTGAAATTTGTGTTATGCTCAAATGTTCCCTGATAATACCACACTTTGGAACAAATTTGCATTTTTTAAAAAAATTTTTAAATATATTTTATTGATTTTTTACAGAGAAGAAGGGAGAGGGATAGAGAGTTAGAAACATCGATGAGAGAGAAACATCGATCAGCTGCCTCCTGCACACTCCCTACTGGGGATGTGCCCACAACCAAGGTACATGCCCTTGACCGGAATCAAACCCAGGACCCCTCACTCCTCAGGCCAGTGCTCTGTCCACTGAGCCAAACCAGTCAGGGCACAAATTTGCATTTTTAACAGAAGAGTTAGAACTGACTGTAATGGAGGTGAGAATATCAAGAGCATAAGTAGAAAATAATGAGTGCAACTCAAGTGATTGTTTCCCCCATACCTAAAATGAGCTGTTGAAATACTTTTTCACAATGAGGCTCGATTGATATGATTATGTGATTTTTGTCTCTCAGTTTATGTGATGCATCACATTTATTGATTTGCAGATATTGTACCAGCCTTGCATCCCCAGAATAAATCCCACTTAGTCATGGTATATGATCTTTCTAATGTAATGCTGGATCCCATTTGCTAGGATTTTGTTGAGCATTTTAGCATCTATGTTCATCAGGGATATTGGCTTGTAATTCTTTCTTTGTAGTGTCTTAATTAGTTTGGGGATTAGGGTAATACTGGCTTCATAGAAAGAGCTTGGAAATGTGCCTTCCTCTTGAATTTTTTGAAATAGTCTGAGGAGGATAGGTTTTAGTTCTTCTTTGAGTGTTTGGTAGAATTCCCCTGTGAAGCCATGGGACCAGGGCTTTTGTTTGGTGGAAGTTTTTTTATTACTGCTTCAATTTTATCAGTAGTTATTTGACTATTCAGGTTTTTTTATTCTTCCTGATTGAGTTTTGGAAGATTGTATTTTTCTAGGAATGTGTCTATTTCGTCTAGGTCAGTGGTCGGCAAACTCATTAGTCAACAGTGCCAAATATCAACAATACGATTGAAATTTCTTTTGAGAGCCAAATTTTTTAAACTTAAACTATATATGTAGGTACATTGTTATTAACTTAATTAGGGTACTCCTTAGGCTTAGGAAGAGCCACACTCAAGGGGCCAAAGAGCCGCATGTGGCTCTCGAGCCGCAGTTTGCCGACCACGGGTCTAGGTTGTCCAGTTTGTTGGAGTAGAGTTATTTGTAGTATTTTTTTTACAATCCTTTGTATGTCTGTGGGGTCGGTTGTTACTTCACTGCTTTCATTTCTGATTGTGTTTATTTGAGTCCTCTCTTTTTGTTTCTTGGTGAGCCTGGCTAGAGGTTCATCAATCTTGTTTATCCTTTCAAAGAACCAGCTCTTGGTTTTATTAATCTTTTGGGGGTTTTTTTGTGTGGTTTTTTTTGGCCTCTATGTTGTTTATTTCTGCTCTGATCCCGATTATTTCCTTCCTTCTGCTTACTCTGGGCTTTTCTTGTTGCTCTCTTTCTAATTCTTTAAGTTGTCAGGTAGATAATTTATTGCCATTTTTTTCTTGTTTTTTGAGGTAGGCCCTTAGAGCTATGAACTTTCCTGTCAGGACTGCTTTCACTGTGTCCCATAGATTTTGGATTATTGTGTTTTCATTGTCAGTTGTTTCTAGTTTTATATTTTCATCACATCTCAGCATCTACATCAGTATATTATTGCTGATATTTTTCTGCTCTTAATTGTAGGAAAAGCATTTTCTAAAAGAAGAAAAGAATAAATTAAGCCAGGAATTGAGTACTGTTGCAACAGAGAAAAATAAGATGGCTGGAGAACTAGAAGTCCTGAGGTCTCAGGAACGTCGTTTAAAAGAAAAGGTTGCAAATATGGAAGTTGCTCTTGATAAGGTAGTTATTAATTAAATACATAAAGTCATTATCTACTAAGTAGCTATTAACTAAGTAGAATTATTCTGAATGAACACTTCATGCTGATAGGAACCAAATCTGTATTCTAGCTCAATCACCTAGCAAACTGAAAGGAAAACAACAACAACATCCTATAGAGAAGACTCTTCTGAGGTTTAAGAATACAGTAATACACAGTTATAGAGTGACTCAGCCTCCCCATCCAGAGACACATTTGTTGTGGGGGCAGTGCATCAGCCACAAGAAACAACATTTCACAGACAAGTTAAATTGGCATTCAAGAGCAAGGCACCTGGCTTCGAATTCAGCATGGTGGAATAGGCAGATCCTGAGCTCCCCTCCTCTCACTGACACCAAAACTACAACTGCGTATGGCACAGCTATCTCTGAGAACAACCAAGACTAGCAGAACAGATTTTCTACAATTAAGGATATAAAGAGAAAGCCACATTGAAATGGGAAGAGGGGTAGAGACTAAGTCTAGTCAGGACCTACCCTAACCCCCACTCCCCATACAGTGACTTACAAGTGGGAGGGATATTACAACTGCAGAGGTCATCCCCAAAGAGTGAGGGGGTCTGAGTAGCCTGGGAGACCTGCAGCAGAAAGAGGAGTTCCTATAACATCTGGCTTTGAAAACTGTCAGGGCTTACATCTGGGAGAGACAAGAAACCCAGGTTGTGCTCTTTCTGAGTCCCGGCACAGAGGTAACAGTTTGAAAAGTACCTAGGTCATACATGAAGGTGGTACATTGACTCATTTGAGGGTTTGTGCTGAAGGGACAGGGATCTGTTGGATCTCCTGAGTCAGAGGTGCTGGCAAGTGCCATTTCCCCTCCCTTTCTTTAACCTAGCTGGTCTGACACTGGCAGGCGTCATTTCTGCCGCTCTCCATTAACCTTACTAACACTGTTCACCCTTCCCTGTCATTTCCCTGAGGACCCACCCAGGCTAGCACCCCTCCAAAGTGGGCAGCCTCAGTCAGTGTGTCTGCAACAGTATGGTTTGGCCTTGTGGCCAACCACACCAAAGGCTGCCCATACATAAGTGAGCCTGCAACAATTGTGGCCAGGCCTCAGAGCCAGTGGGCCCAGGACCAGCCTTGCCTATCAGTGTGTCCATAGAAGTTGTGGCCCAACCACAATAGGAGGCCACACTAGTCCACCCAGGGAACACCTCTGGAGCACTGGCTCTGATGACAAGGAGGATTCCACCACTGAGCCCCACTGCACACCTTTTAAATAAGGCCACTTTTTTAAGACCATGAGGTTTAGCTGAGCCACCTAATACATAGAAACAAACAGGCAAAATGAGGAGAAAAAAGAATATGTTCTTAAAAAAAAAAAAAGACAAAACCCCAGAAAAAGAACTAAGTGAGGTAAGCTGTCTACTATATAAAGAATTCAAAGTAATCATCACAAAGATGCTCATCAAACTCTGCAGACAAGTGGATAAATTCATTGAGAACTTCAACAATGATATCAAAATTATAAAAAGGACCTATCAGAACTGAAGAATATAACAAATGAAATATACACTGGAGGGAATCAGCAGCAGATAGATGATGCAGAAGAATGCATCAGCAATCAGGAAGACAGAATAGTGGAAATGACCCTATTGGAAGATCAAAAAGAGAAAATAATTAAAAACAATGAGGATACCATAAGGAACCTTTGGGACAACATCAAGCATACTAACATTCAGATCATGGGGGTCTGAGAAGAAGAAGAGAGCAGGAAGAAAAACCTATTTAAAGAAATAATGACTGAAAATGTCCCTAATCTGGTGAAGAAAATGGACATCCAAGTCCAAGAAGCACAGATAGTCCCAAAGAAGATGAACTCAAAGAGACCCATAGCAAGACACATTATAATTAAATTGTTAAAAGTTAAAGATAGCCCTAACTGGTTTGGCTCAGTGGATAGAGCGTCAGCCTGCAGACCAAAAGGTCCCAGGTTCGATTCCAGTGAAGGGCATGTACGTTGGTTGTGGGCACATCCCCAGTAGGGGGTGTGCAAGAGGCAGCTGATCGATGTTTCTAACTCTCTGTCCCTCTCCCTTCCTCTCTGTAAAAAACCAATAAAATATATTTTTTTAAAAAGTTAAAGATAAAGAATCTTAAAAGCAGCAAGAGAGAAAAACAACTAGTTACATACAAGGGAATATTCATAAGACTGTTAGCTGACTTTTCAACAGAAATGTTGCAGGCCAGAAGGGAGTGGCACAATATATTCAACATGATGAAAGGAGAAAACTTAACAGCCAAGAACACTCTACCCAGTAAGGTTATCATTCAGAATTGAAGGAGAGTTCAAGATTAAAAGCTTTTGCACAGCAAAAGAAACCATCAATAAAATGAAAAAGGAACCACCAAATGGCAGAAGATATTTGCCAATGATACATAAGATAAGGGAGTAATTTCCAACAAATATATAAAGAACTTATACAGCTCAACACCAGGAAGACAATACAATTTAAAAATGAGCCAAGGACCTGAATAGACACTTCTCCAAAGAGGACATACTGATGGCCAGTAGATGTATGAAAAAATGCTTAACATCACTAATCATCAGAGAGAGGCAAATTAAAACAATGCAGAATGGCTATCATCAATAAATCAACAAACAACAAGTGCTGGCAAGGACGTGGAGAGAAAAGAAATTTAGTGCACTGCTGGTGGGGATGCAGACTGGTTCAACCACTGTGGAAAATTCCTCAAAAAATGAAAAATTGAACTACCTTTTGATCCATTGACCCTACTTTGGAGAATATATCCTAAGAAACCCAAAACACTAATTCAGAAATATATATGCAACTCTATATTCACTGCAACATTACTTACAATAGTCAAGGTATGGAAGCAACCTAGGTGTTCATCAGTGGATAAAGAAGTGGATACATTACTCAGCCATGAAAAATAATGAAATTTTGCCATTTGTGACAGCATGGATAGATCTAGTGGGTATTATGCTAAGTGAAATAAGTCAGAGAAAGACAAATACTGTGTCATTTCACTTATGTGTGGAATAAAAACTAAACAAATGAACAAACAAAATAAACAGACTCATAAATACAGAAAAACTGATAGTTGCTCGAGTTTTGGGTGGTGGGGGTATGGGCAAAAATCTGAAGGGGATTAAGAGGTACAAACTATAGTTTTAACATAAATAAGTCACAGGAATGGAAATTACAGCATAGGGAATACAGTCAATAATATTACAATAACTTTGTACAGTGACAGATGGATAGTGGACTTTTTGTGGTGATCACTTGGTAAGGTGTATACATGTAAAATCTCACTATGTTGTACACCTGAAACTAATATAATATTGTATGTCAACTATACTTTAATTAAAAAGAGCTTTACATTCCAGGAAAAAAAGAATACAGTTATAATGTGTACTTTTTACAAAATTATCTTTTTTAGGCTAGCACAATCATAGAAGTAAGGTATAAGATGTAAGATACTCCTAGTGTCCTTGGTGAACTGAATAAATAAAATGTCTCCAATCCAACCACCAAAGAATGACTTGAACACTAGGTAGAAAACAGTCTGTTAATATAATATCAATAAAATGAGAAAGTAATGCTACTATCTGGCACTTTGTGGGTTCCAAATGATGGAAGTAGAAAACTCAACTTAAATGAGAAGGATCTATGACACTATTAATAATTTTCCTGTCACCTGAGAATACTGGAAGGCTAAAAATTTACCCAAACTAGTCCTTGATTCTTAATAAATCAGAGCCTTTATGGTTAGATAAAATGATGTGTGATCTTTTTATCTATGCCAACTTTGATCTTAAAAACATGATCTATTGATTCAATGAATTTTAGTTGTGGTTATTTTATGTGAATTTTTTTCACATTGCTAAAGTCATTTTCTCATTTTATTCTTAGTGCATTCATTTTTTGGAGTGTCCTCCACATACTAAATGCTATGTAAGTGCTGGGGATACAGAGGAGAAAGACATGGCCTCCAGTTCTCTGTTACTTGATAAAACAGATAAAAAGATAAAATACAGTGTGCTAAGAGTGGGGATGTTTCCTTGAAGAGATGGCAGCTCTGCATTTATAGGTTAACTAGAGGCCTGGTGCACGGATTCGTGCACATTGAAAGGAAATTAATTAGAAGAAATATTTTAGAGGCTGGGGAGGGGCCATGGGAGGTCTCCAGGGCAGGTCCGGCCCATCTCACCTAGTCCCAATCAGAATGTCTGCCCCCTGGTGGTCAGTGTGCATCATAGCAACTGGTCGAATGGTCGAATGAATGGTCAGACACTTAGCATGTTAGGCTTTTATTATATAGGATAACATAAAATTTCATGGAGGATAAACTTTATGTGGTTGCTTGATTGTAGGCATCTTTGCAGTTTGCAGAATGTCAAGATATAATACAACGTCAGGAACAAGAATCTGTGCGCCTGAAACTTCAACACACTCTGGATGTAAAAGTAAGGTCTTTTTTTTTTTTCATCATAAATAATAGGGTAAGCAAAATAATGCCTTTGTTTGATATATTATATTTTGTTTATTACCTTAGATACATTATAGGACTGGTCCTACAATCCAGGGTGTAAATGACATAATATGCAGAGAATTTTAAATTGAGAAAAATTTCATTTAAAATATATAGCTAGTTATGACATTTTTAATTATTAGATTTTAGATTTATGTAGACCAGATGAATGAAAATGTTTTCTTCACTATTTGATGTTTTCTCTGGGGAAAACAAACATGAAATATTTAGTGGGATTAATGTTAACATTTATGTGTACTTTCAACATTATCTGATACTGGCAATTATAAAACCTGTACAAACCTTGTTACATGCTATACCTCCCTTTTTCATATATAGTAACAAATTGAAGCATCATGCTTGATGTTAAGCTCATAATAAATGGGGAAACATAAAAGTGGCTGCCATGGCGATACCTGAGGGAGAGTTTGCATACAGAAGAGTCAAGCAAGTGCAAAGGCCCAGCGTGCAAGTGTGTTTGGCCTGTTTGGAGAATAGCAACAATGATGTAATTATCATGCCTAGGACGTTGCTCTTTAAAAACAGTACACTTTCCACTGACATATCTGTCTATTTTCTAAGTATATTTTCAAGTTGTAGACATACTTTAAAGTCTCAGGAGTGGATACTTTCACAGCTAGAACACTCCTGCTGTAGAGGATCTTTCTCAGTGTTATACCAACACTAGTGTGGAGTCTTTGGCAAAATTTGGGAACCAATATAGTGGCATAACATGCTAGGTGTGTCTTCATATCTGGAAAGCTTTTATCAATCAGAAATGTGAAGGCATCTCCCTAAGCACATGCTTAGTCTTCAGAGGGTAACTTAGATACCCAGAATCATCTTGCTTAATGTAGTACTTTGGTTTATAACTTTGTAGAAGTTCAACATGTAAGACTGAAATTATGTTTGAAAAAAATACATTTTGACTTCACAGTTCAAATTGTAGTTGACAGTTATTTTGTGTACATTGATGTTGTTTCCCAGGAACTTCAGGGCCCTGGATACACCTCAGGTCCTTCTGTGAAACCACGTCTTCTGAAGCCCTCTGCCCGTCCTCACTCTAATATGCCGTCTACCCAGTCTACGGCCAGCTTCCTATCTCATGTAAGGACTAGTCCTACAATCCATGATGCAAATGACATAATATATAGGGAATTTTAAATTGAGAAGAATTTCATGTAAAACTATATCTATAGTTATGATATTTTTAAATTACTAGATTTTAGATTTATGTAGACCAGATGAATGAAAATGTTTTCTTCACTATTTAATGCTTTCTCTGGGAAAAATAAATATGAAGTAGTCAGTGGGATTCATTTTAACAATAATTGTTAAAGTAAGTTATTTAATAGCCTTATGTTCAATCACAGGGATTTCCAGATTACAAAGCCAATTTTGAGATAGCTAAAATGAGCATCACTTCAAATGCCAAAGGCAAATTACTGGCATATTTAATGCTCTACCAAGATGAAAACGATTCATAAACTACATTGAACTTATAATCATAAAATATTAAGAACTTTGGATAGTTTAGTATAACCTTTTGTACTTGTAAAGCTCAGGGGGAAAATATGTACAATGTAAAATTTAGGAATATTTCTTCTTAAAAAATATATTTATGGAGTCACTAGTTCCCTGCAACCTGTATTCAGCTCCACCTCTAACAAAATGAGACTTATTCCATAAGTACACAATCAATTTCATTAACTAACAGTCTCATTGTATGTATAGCAACAGGATCACCAGTGACTTACCAGTTATTCTACCTGAGCCATTTAAATGAGCATATATTCTGTGAAATGACTAAAAGTTGAAGTGGACTCTTCTTACACACTTAAGATGTGTGTACTGAAAAACAAGCAATCACATAGCAAATAACAGTCTATCAAACAATTGAATAATAATTTATTATTTATTTATTTTATTTTTCTTAGAGAGAGAGGGAGAGAGAGAAATATTGCTGTGAAAGAGAAACATCGATTGGCTATCTACGGGGATCAAACTAGCAACCTTTTGGTGCATGGGACTATACCCAACCAACTGAGCAACACTGGCCAGAGCTAAAATAATAATATTAATATTAATATTAGAGGTTAAGCATGTTCTTCACTCTGAAGACTAAACTTGGAGATGGGCAAAGGAAGGGAAGGAGGCTGCTGCTTTTTGTTTTAGGTGATTCTTATAAAATCATTTTACCTTTTAAACTATGTACATGGCCGAAACTGGTTTGGCTCGGTGGATAGAGCGTCGGCCTGCGGACTGAAAGGTCCCAGGTTCGATTCCGGTCAAGGGCATGTACCTGGGTTGCGGGCACATCCCCATTAAGAGATGTGCAGGAGGCAGCTGATCGATGTTTCTCTCTCATCGATGTTTCTAACTCTCTATCTCTCTCCCTTCCTCTCTGTAAAAAATCAATAAAATATATTTTAAAAAAAAACTATGTACATGTTATACTGATAAAAAATGTATTGAAATCCCTCTCTCCAAAAAAAAAACAACAACACCCAAATCAAACAACAACAAAGAATATTTGACCAGGAGTCATTGAGACCTTGGAAATCTGGTTAAATATGTTGTGCCTTGCTCTTTTCATCTCTAATGAGGAGTCTGGATTAGAAGATCTAGGTCATCTAGAAAGATTAGCTCTGAAGTTCCATGACTTTTCATTACCCTAAAACCAATATCATAGATTTTGCCTAGCCATTTAATATATGGACTCTACTTGATTGTAAAGAATCTCATCTATCACTGAAAAAGTACCAGTCCTATATCTATTAAATTAAACTTTTAAATAATAGTTCTAACAGCAAAAACAAACTATATTTTCTAAATGGACTGTCAAGCATTCTATATACAATTAAGTCCTTCTCTTAAGAAATATAGTATATAATATTACAAAATAAAAGTAACATACATTCTTTGTTTTGCTCCTTGATGTGTCTGTCTCAAGTACCTAGAACAATATCTGGCACATAATAGGTATCCAATACATATGGTGTTCACATCTGGATCGGCTGCTTTCTACGCTTGCTGCACGGTGGGCTTTTTGGATGTCCTTCTACCAAAATCCAGGGAATATCTTTTTTTTTTCTGGTGTGTCCCCCCCCCCTCCTTTTTAGGTTTAATTACCTTCTTGGTTTATTTATATCTTTGTTTTCATTTGAGCATACAATGCAGTGGCTTCCTCTGAAAGGATTATTTCATTCTCTATGTTTTAAAACTTTGTATGTCTGAGAAACACCTTTATTTTTCACTTATATTTGATGGTCAAAATTTTGTTGCTGTTGTGCCATTTTTATTCCAGAGCCTTTATCCCTGGGATTCATTTCCGATTGTTTATAGTGGAGAAAGGGTCCTTTTTCTCTTCATTGTGTTGGGTACTTAGCAGATTCTTGGGTGTTTTTTGCTCTCAGATATCTTCTTGTATCATTTCTCTGATCATTTTCTCAGTTATTTCTTTCTGGAGTTTCTGTTAGTCACCTATTAGAACTCTTAGATTGATTCTACAATCTTCTTTAATTTTTACTCCATTTTCCATCTCCTCATCTTTTATTCTCACCTTTTGGGAAATTTCTTCAACTCTGTTTTCCAAACAACTATTGAAATTTTTTTCTGATTTTATATATTCTTTTAATTTCCAGGAGCCCTTTTTGTTCTTTAAATCTTCTCTTTATATAGTTTTATGATATTTTCTCATTTCTGTTTAAGAATATTAACTTCAGTTTTTCAGTAATTTCTGTCACCTGAATTATTCATGTTTCTTCAAATTCATTTTTTTTCTGTCTGTTTTGATGTCTGTCTTTCATGTTAGAGACTTTTCTTCAATGTTTGGAGATCATTGGTTGTCCTTTCATATTTAAGATTGAGGACCTAAAAGCTTATTAAAGTAGCTCTTTGAAAGTTGACAGGATTTGTCAACTAGTAGATGGTTAGGTATTACTTTTTTATTGAGGGGCCTACAAATTATCTGTAGGTGTGTTGTTTTTTCTTGGTCCTGTCCGTTCCCCAATCCATCTGCCAGCATTCTGAGAGGTGAGCGGGGCGGGGAGTATGGGCTATCTGTCTACTATGCAACCTCACTTCGTGCTCATATTTTCAGTTTGCAGCCTTGTTCCTGCTATGCCAGATATCCCTTTGAAGCCTAAAGTCCTTTGGTCAACCTCACCCAGAGACTAAGCCTCTGAATTCACTTAGGGGAAAGGAATGAGTAATTATGTAATTATATGGGTAGGACATTTGGGATTCTAACAGCTTCTCCCATAGACTTTACCCAATCCTCCTATTTTGCTGCTCTCTCTTACCTTGGTCTTCAGGAACACAAGACCTCCACTTTCTGAGCCTTTCTAGAATACTTCCATGCAGAGCAGGTTGCTTCTTGTTGGCTGCTTCTGTGCTGGTTCTTTAAATTTTAGCTTTACTTGTCCTGCTAAATCAGTTATGAAATGATCCACGTGCTTTCCCTCCCCCAACTTTTGTTATCATTACTCATCTAATAGTACCTCTCCTTTTCCTCTTTATCCTTGTTAATCCCTTTAGTGTCATTTTAGTGGGGCTTTAGATAGAACAGAAATAAATGCCAAGTTTATCTTTAGAAGTAGAATCTTACTGTTTGCATTGCCCTGCATTGTCCCTTCATTTATCTTATGTCCTTTTAGCCTTCTTGTTCCATGATTCTAATAGTAGCTGAGACTGACTGGACACCAGCCACTGTGCAGAGCACTTTCTGTAGATTATCTAATTTACTCCTCAGAGCTACCCACCAGAGTAAGTGCTGATTGTTCTACCTATTTCACAGATGAAGAAACTTGGCTCTTGAAGAAGCTAAGTGACTTACAGAGTTCACACCCAAAAAACACAGTTGTGCCAAGATTTAACAAGACAGCCTGAGCCTAGAGCCTGTCTTCTTAACTTCTGCTTCTCTATACTACCCCACCGAATGCTTTTTATTAAAAAAATAATTTAAATAAATGATGATATAGATAGTGTGTCTAAAATATTATATTTCATTAGGTTTTTGTGAATGGAGATTATGCCATTTTAGAGCCTCAAAGGCTTCTAGAATTATCCAGTTTACTCCCCTTGTGCTATAGGTGAGAAAATGGGAGAACCAGAAAACTTATATTATGTGACTTGGTCTAACCTCAAACACCTGCATATGTTTGTATGTGTTATAGAGTATATATGTACATACAAATACACATGTAATTGGTAGGTTGACATCAAAGCATTTTATATTAATATTTAGATAAGCTATTTTAGCATATAAAAGAGGCTATTTCCAGGATAGTATAATTTTATTTCTGTATCAGATTCTATACACATACACTATAATTTGTACTAGGTGGGCTTGATCTTTGTCACTGAAGTACCCATGATGTGGGCAAGATTTTTAGTAATACTTTATAACTTTCGTTTCCTACTCACTCATTCCTAATATACAGTATAAATAATATATATGCATTTGAAAAATCTATATTTCATTTTTATTACAGTCTTCTAACAGGAATACTAGCATAAGAGATGGATTTGGGTCAGACATTCTCAAAATAGAATAATCTAATTCAAACTGAATGAGATCAAGCTTTTATTTTTAGCTTTTACATTTATCTTCTATCTTTGGAGAATGGAGATAGGACCAGTTGAGAAGCATACAATCGCCCTAGACGTTTCTTATTTCACATCATAACTCATAAACTTGCTTGTAATGACTCAAGGCCATTAGAGAGAACAGTATTTGGAGGAGATGAAGGTGTATTAAAGATCTAATTTTAGGCATTATTTTGGAACAAAGTCTAACATACAATGTAACAGAAAATTAATCAAAACACAAAATAAACTTAAGTTTAACAACAACAGTATAAGCTTATATTCTTACTTTGAAACCTAAAGCTTGTAGAAGTTTTAGCCTGAAAATGTATGTCCTCTAGAAATAGCCTCAGTGTGTACTCTAAGGTCAGAGGACTGGGGTGGGAGGGAGCAGGAGTCTTGGATGGTCTCCCAGTAGCTTCAGGAAGAGCTTATGCTTAGTAATTTCTTTACCAGCCTGACTGGAGTCATATTTAAAGGATGTTTTAGAACTGTTCATTTTCTAACTATTTTCTAAT